TCAGTGGCATATTCTTTCTTCTGTTCACGCTTAGCGAAAATGTGAACATGAACTGCATCATGGTTTTCCCTATTTTAAATTCAATCTGGGTTTGTCACTAATAGATCCACACACTTGCAACAATAAACACACCTCTTATTGTTCATATAGATTCTAAAATGGAAATTTTGGATGGTTGATTCAGATTCCCATTTTGAGTAATGGGCAACTTTCATCTAGTACATTCAGTGTTTACATTGATTTGTGGCATCATTGGTTAAAATGGCAAATCCATTATATTGTATAATATATATTAAAAAAAAACTGATGAACTGCATTCAGTTTCCTTTAAAGATTTGATTGTTACTGAATTTTAATCTGCAGAGCCTTTCACAAATAGAGACTCCTGAAATGTCTCTTCCACCGGAAGAAAATAAATTTCATTTGATTAGTCTGATCCTTCTTAAGAGCCAGTTCACCAACTAGAAGCTTTGAGGGGCACTAAGGCATATCTGTCTTTCCGTCCATAGCCTTAAATCATGAGGGTTCAATGATGCTCCTATAAGATGTCCAGGAACCAAGTTTTCCATGGCAAGTACCGAGTCATTAAGATGCCTGTGGTTTTCTCCACATATTTTGATCCTGGGTATAAAAGGAAACAGAAAAAGCATAAAGGAAATTCCTGTTGCACGAGCTAGACAGGCCGCTGAAAGTCTCTGTAACAAAATCTTGGTGATCTTTGTAATAAAAAGGTTGCCAAGAGATCTTTTAGCTCCATGTTAAAGATCATCTGAGTCAGTCAACAGTGAGTGGCTTTGGTAGCTGAACTTGTACATGCCTGCAAGGTGATCAATTATGAGATTTCCCTGAAAACAATGGCACATCTCCGAAGCCTTATTATTTAAGGCGGTGACTTAATCTGCATACCTTACTACAACAGGAAGTCATGTGTAAACAATGTTTTTTTTTGCAAAGATGTGTTTTGAACAGCTGTACTAGACTTGACATGCTTTGAATTCTTTATTGTATTAGGAGAAATATCGTTAAGAGCATATTCTGAATATGTTCTCTTCCCCCTCCCTCTTCTACATATACACAGCCATCAAGGAGACAGTTTACAATTATTACCTTTTGCTACTCTCATTTTAATGAATATACCATTTTTTGATTCATTGCAAAATATTCCAATATATATTTATATTTTTTCCACGAACCACTGAAAGAAATTTCAATAAGAACGTGAAAAACCCAATAGCAAACATCACAAATTGGCTGTCACCATTGGCCCAAGGTGTCTCTTTAGCACTGAATTCGTATCCTAATTTCTGCCAAGGTGCAGGAGGTTTTGAGTTCTAGAATACTTCATCTGTCCTGTTGCAATGAGATTGTGCAAAAGTAGTTATCAGGTTAGACCTTACAAACCAGTTCAGCCCACAGCATTCTAAGTCAGTTTGTTATCAGTTCACAAGGAATATCAATGTCCTTTGAAAATTTTAAGACCAATTGAATAACTGTTATTGTTTCATACTCAAAAGAACTGAATGAAGTATCTTTAGCATGCTGTCATTTGTGGAAGTTTTGCTGTGCGCAAATTAGGTTTCCTGCGTTACAGCAGTAACTATGTTTCGAAGTACTTCACTGACTGTAAAGTACTTAGGACATTCAGAGGTCATGCGAAGTACTGTACAGACACATGTTGATCTTTCTTTTATATTAACAAAAGACCCTAATACAATGGCAGCAATCCGATAAAAACACGAGTACAGCTTTTTGTTTCATTATTATTTCAAGTCAAAGCAGAAAACCGTCCTTTCATAATGTGCCGTTTTTAATACCAGTGTTAAGCACATTGTGTCAGGTTCTATAATTCTACTATGAAAAAGGCAAAACCGTAGTAACTAGCGAGCAAAAAACAACGAAGACATTTTTTTAAAACAATCTACTATCAGCCTTAAAATTGTCAGGTGAAAGTAAGACTTTTAAAATCCCAATTTTGAATGTCCATTTCTGAATAACTAATTGAGAACTTTAATACTTCCGTAAGTATCTGTCCTAACGGCTCACTCAAAACTATTACAAATTATGCCAAAGTATGAGCAGTTTCTTGGTATAAATCCATACTGCTACTAATAATCTTTACTCATTTCACCTAGAAACCTTACTATCAGCAGAAGCAATCACACCAAGGTACTACAGGAAGGAGGACTACAAACTAATCCACATCACAACTCAATTTCCTGAGAGAAATCAGTAAGTTTCTTAATCCTAGTGAGACATGATTCTGAGGAGCCAAGATTTATCCACATTTGGGTCACCCTGATTCCAAAACGGTCTAAAACCTTGGTCTGGATAACAGACCAGATTCATCTTGTTTTGGTTGATCTGTACAATTTGAAAATTCCTGGTGTCATGACTGACGCTGTCGAGAAAATAGTGATTTCCACCACAAGTAATGGTGCTGATATTTGTAAATTACCCCTTTGATTATTTGTAGAAATTCTGTCCACTGATTAGATAGGTCTTTTAAAACAAAGAAAAATGGATTAAACCAAACTTTTTGGTATGTTTTTAGGGATCATTTTCAAAGATTTCTTCCAGTGTTTACACGAATTGTACCAGTAACCATATTTACTCAAGTTAATCCTGTGTCTAGGAAGCTCAAACAAACCATAACTTAAATTATTTGGTTGCAAAACCTTATTTTGCTAAATTCCTGCTTATATGTGTTTTGCTAAACCTTCAGTGCTTTAGTCATCTCCTCTCAAATCAGTTAGAACTTGGGTTGCTTCAAATTAAGCAGACAGATAATTTTGTGACTGGATCCACTGTGCTCAAAGACCGTCAGCACCTTCTTTCTGGCCTTGTGCTGTCTTTACACAACATTTCTGAAACCAGTTTTCATCAACATTTAGCAACATATATAGTTAGTTGTTAGTTACCAAAAAGGAACCATAATATTCAACAGAATACAGGTAGTTCTCCTATAACACGATAATTGAATCCTTGTGTGACCTCATGCTATAGAAAATGACATTGTAGGGAAATTACTACAGAAAAATCGTTATACTTGTACAGCAGAAAGTTCACGTTATCCAAACAGTGTCCAGTATTCATCAATCGTGTTACAGCCAATTTGCGTTAACAAAACACGCTTAATAGCAGAACTACCTGTATTCTTAACAGAGAGTATTAGGGTCTTGTTTGACTTGTAAAACTCTGTAAAAATCTTAAGTATCAAGGCCAAAGAAAAGCAGCTGGCCAACTTAACAGTAAAACTAGCAAAGGTGTTATAGCAAAAATATCCCTTGTTTATTCTTTCCCTTTTGATGCAGACTTTTCATCTCCACATGGAAGCACTTTTGATTTGGTCCATCTTACTTTAAGAATAGGGATCTTGGTTGACTTTCAATATTACTTCCCATCATTACTCCAAACCTCTGCAAACTGCATCCATGAGACTGAATATTACTGAAATGCATAAAATGCTGATAACAACTTTGGATAAAGGTTGGGAAAAAAAATCTCTCAGAAAAATAGGCAGTTAAGTATACGTACAAAATTAGAGTGTTGCAGGACTGTGTCACAGAGTGGCAGCTGCCTGTAATAAGGATGGTGCTGCCCATATATTTTGAAACATGAAGGTTTTAAATGGTCTGGATTGTGAAATTTGAGTTCAACATGCACCTCATAGGAGTTATTATTGTATCATTCCAATGCAAATGGATTGTTTCAAAGTTACATTTTGGAATCCAATTGCTAAGATTAATTGACAACTCCATTATCGCAGCTTGCAGAAGTATTTGGAGATGGGGATGACAGGCATGTTATTTGGTGACCATGAGGTCTGGATCTACATTTGAGGCCAATCTATTTGGCATTCAGATGCCAAGTTTCCTGTTTGATAGTGAACACTAACTTAGAATCTCAGCTATTTCTTGATGATACAGCTTGTCATTTGTACTTGTGTACGGGCATATAGCACTGAGCATCCAGGTGCAGGAGACCAAAATCAACTAGGCCCTCTGTGCAAGCACAAATGGCTCCTGTTAGTCACCTTTAATGCTAATTATGCTTGAACATCCACTCCAAATAAAAACAATCACACACTTAAGCACTTCCCTTACTTACTGATATTTAAATAACAGTAATATTTACACTACTGTTACAAATACATGTGCAGTCATCTTCATAACATCTCCCCATTTTCTAACTATGTTTTTCAACAATCAAACCAAAGTTGAAGCTACTCAAAAGCAAATGTGGAAGGAAACAGATCACAACATTTTTATTTTAGATTTAGATTTTTTGATCATTTCAAACTAAGCAAAGCAAAATTAAAGACATTACAGTCTGACTTTTAAAGTGTAATAAATTTACTAAACTGCAGATATGAGATACTAATTTTGTGAAATGATCATTTGAATTTAAAAGAGAAAATGTATCAAAATGAGATAAAATCAATGTGCACACAACCCTAGCACATCTATACATCTCGGTTCATTTCCCTCAAAAGCCTTGAGGCAACATGAATTTGTAGTAAACAGAATTAGCCAAATTTGCCAGAGATGGCAGTATTTACCATAAATTGTAACAACTATGTTACCAATAAACTACTAAAATTAGCATCAGTTTGTAATGAACCACATGAGAATATCCTAATACACAGAATCACAATACACCTTAGTAGCAATTCAGGTCACCACAGCAGTGCTACTCACTACCATTCGTAAAAACATTCCAAGACAGATCCAGAAATAGAAGCTTCATCATAACATGGGTTGTGAATTCAAGCTCCAAATACTAGGTGAAACAAAGAGAAACATTTAAAGCTGCTCTATAATGGTTTTTTTTCTTGTCACAGGAGACTTCATTACAAAATGCTCCACAACATTCATTGTTTTATTCCTACTTCTCATAACAGCTAGCTTAATATGTAACACTGTACAAAGAAGCCAAAACACGTTCATTGCACATGACACACTTTTGATTAAGTCAACTAAATGTTTGATTTGATTACATACCCTAGTAAGATCCATGCCGAGTTTCAGTTGAGAAAGGAGGTGTAGGATAACGCTACGCTGATCATCCATGACTCCCAAGTCTTCCTCTATATTATCCTCACTGTCTGTTATCTCATCTTCAGGATTTATGACTTCAGAATTTTGATGCTGATGAAAATAACATAAGTCATTCAGATGATTTGATAGGATAGAATATTTTTTCTAACATTTGATAGCTTTGATGTAACCGGTGTTTTATGCACACACCCACCCCCATTTTATGTACTGGATTTTCCTTTGCGCACACAAAGCAATGTTAATAGGAACAGAAGCTTTTAAGTAAGAATCCACAGCACAATTTCAGTGTTTTGAAATAACAACATCAGCCATGTTTTAGAAATGAAACATGATGAACTCACTCTGTACGACTGCAAATAATCTGATCTTGCATCAAAGTTTGACATTGGTCTAAAAGCAGATGATATTGTTGTGAGCTTACTGACAACAGGCACATGAAGCAACCAGCATTTACTCAGTCTGAAGGCTTTCTTACGACACCCTCCCCTCACTCCCGTGGATTAGAAATCAATCAAATGTGAAACCATCCTTTTCACTCAGCCACGTGACATCAGGACTTATAGCCTTAATTATAAACAGCACATTTTGTATTCCTCTCAAGCAGGACTTTAAAAGCAAGGTTTAACCTGTTACGTCTGAACACAAATTTACTAGCCTCTGCTGCCACATATGGGTACTGAATTTGCAAAAATCCCAGTTGTAATTTATTTCAGCATTATTCAACAATTAAGTCACTTTACTTGTCTTTGTAATCCCTATCTGGTTTTCCAGACAAGAAAATGATCTGCATGCAATGAACAATTATACCGCTGTCTATCTGAAATTATTCAAAATGTCAATACAACACTTCAGAAAATGCAGCTGTCACTTAATTATTCAATCCTCTCAAATAAACATGCACTGTGTAGCTACCTAGAGCTATCATACTTAAATTATTATTGAAGATTTGTCCTCCCCCCTCCCCCACCCTGACACCATTCCCAAGGTTCCTCTGATCTCAAGAGGACAGGTAGGTGATCTGCTTTCTGAAATATGCCAATGCTACATGTTGCATGCTGGTCAGAGAATGAGAACGCCTGTAGTATTTTCTCCAAGAAAACCCTAATGAATACAGGCCCAGCTGAACCAATCGCTCCTCATAGGATAGTCCTATCATCCCCAGTATCAATTTAAAGGGAATGCAGCACAGGTCAATTAAGGCAAATATATGCTTTCTCGGGTAGGCAGACCAAAACTGCGTGCAATTCACCAGGTCTGGTCTCACTGAGTAATGCAGCAAGATATCCCTACTTCCAAAATCAAATCCTCCTGCAGTAAAAGCATACCATTTGCCTTCCAAATTGCTTGCTGCATCTGCCCATTTACCTTTTACTGACAGGTGTAGAAGAACACCCAGATCCCTTTGTACATCGACATTTTCAATATAGCACCAATTAATAATACTCTTTCTTTCTGTTTTTCCGACTGAATTGTATAACTTCACATTTAGCCACATTGCACTGCATCAGCCTTGGATTTGTTCACTCACTCGGGTTATCTAAATCATCTTGAAGCTTCCTTTCACCTCTCAATCCCACCCAGTTTTGTGTTGTCAGCAAACTTTTAAGATGTTCCATTTTGGTTCCCTCAACCAAGTTGTTCATAGATATCATGAATAGCCGGGGCCCAAGCACAGACCCTTGCCTGCCAGTTGGGGGAAAAAAAATATATTCCTACTCTCATAATTCATAGAGACTGCACAGTCAGGAGTTAAGCTTTAAATGAGTGGGCTGCGACTGAGGGATTATTATCTGAGCTACCTACAAACAGGCATAAGAGAAGATAGATCAGGAGAAATAACGTGTGGCTGAATAACCAGTGTGGGAAAGACAAATTTGTTTTTATGTGACACCATTTTGGTAAAGGAAGGAACTATATGAATGGGAAAAGCTTCACCAGCCGGGATGGGACGTGTATCTTCTGAGAAAGAGTAAATAGGAAGGTGGCAAAGATTTCAATCAGTATGATGGAGAGAGAGGGTTCTATGGCAACATACGCAACCCAAAATTAAACAAAAGAGCCAAAAAATGGTGTATGGCTGGGAGGGAAACTAGTAGATGTAGAAGGATGCTACCAACACCACCTAGTTTTGTCTTTCTAGAAGGCAGAGATCACAGATTTGGAAAACACTGTAAAAGGAGCCTGCATGAATTTCTGCAATGTTTCTTGTGTTACAAAGTTGTGTAAAGTCATCATGAATTGGAAGGCAGGAAGCCAGAATTGGCTTATAAAAAATAATAAGGGAGAACAGTGTGTGGTTCTTTTAAGAGGTGAAGTACTTTTCTAAGTGTAGAGATTCATACAGAAAAAAAATGTGTCTGTATGTCACTGAAGATATATAACCAGTTCTAAAATGGAAACATGTATCAATTGGCTGTGTGATTGGAAACCTTAGGCATGTTTTGATGTTTTGGCAACTAGCTGGAATCAGCCAATTAATTTAAACTAAGCGTTTAGCGATTCGAAGCCAATTGTATTTAAATCTGATGGTTTTGACAACCTTGGATCAATGCTATTGTAAGAGAATTAGTATGTCATCCAAAGTATAGAAGAACAGGACTTTTGAAAATCAAGGTGGGGGTTGGAGCGAACAGCCATTTGAGAAACAAGCACCTAACCCTCACAAGAAATCACTAAGCTCCCTAAGAGACCACCATCTTATCCATAAAATGTACCATGGCACTTCTCGCCAAGAGTCTTCACAGAGAAAACATCCCTGACAGCAGGATCAGTGGATGAAAAGCATTTCTGACTGGTGAGACAGTGGAGATGGCACAGCATTCCGGAAGACACATTCTGTGTGGACTTTAAGAAACTAAGTTTTAAATTTATTTTTTTCTTACTACTTGCGTTATGTAAATGGGACTTTGTTTATTAGAATAGCATACCAGTAGAATTTTGTTCAGTTAGGGAATAGTTAGAAGTTGGGGGGAATTGTTCAGTTTGTTAGTAGTTCTGTTAATTTGTTGACTGTTAGGATTAAATAAATAAATTGTTACTTGTTACTTATAAGGTGAATATCAGGGATTTTCTTTCATTTAACCTCCCATCCTCCGTAACTCTTGTAAATGGTACATACTGCTACTACAGTGCATCGTTAGTGGAGGAAGCAAATGTTAAAAAGGTGATGGATGGGGTGCTAGTTAAGTGGGCTGATTGTTCCTGGATGACATCAAGCTTCGAGACTGTTGTTGGAGCTGCACTCATTTAGCTTAATGCAGAGTATTTCATCATAGCCCAAACTTATACTGTGTAGGTGGTGGAGTGACTTTAGGGAGTCAGGAAGTGTGTTAACGCAACACCAATTTTTTTTAAAATTCACTTGTGGGATGTCAGTATTGCTGGCTCAGCCAGCACTTATTGTCTATTCCTAGCTGCTTGAGAAGTGGCAGTCTTGAATTGCTGCCATCTATTTGGTGTGGGTATACCCAGTGTCTTTAGAAAGCCAGTGCCAAGATCTTGATCCAGAAACACTGAACAAATGGCAAAATATTTTCAAGTCAGGATGGTGAGCAGCTTGCCGCGGGGGGATACTTGTAGATCGTGATGTTTCTATGTATTAGCTGCCCTTGCCCTTATAGATGACAGTGATCACAAGTTTGGAACGTGCTAAGGAGCACAGTGAACTTCCGTAGTGCAGTGCAGAGTAAATGTTTGTGGAGCTAATTAAGTGGACTTCTTTATCCTGGATGGTATCAAGTTTCTTGGCTGTTGTTGGAGCTGTATTTATCCAGGCAAATGGGGAACATTCCATTGTATCCCTGACTCGTGCCTTGAACGTGGTGGACTCCCAGGAGCCATTTAACTGCCATATCAGCTATTTTCGCTCACACCCTACCAGTACACGAGGTGTTGCAAATGGTGCTGAACATTGATGTTCGCACAATAACAAACATCCTGACTTCTGACTGTACGATGAAGCAGCTGATGATGATGGGTCTAGGGAACTATCGTGAGGTACTCCTGCAGTGATGCTCTTGAGCAGAGATGATTAACCTCCAACTACCAGGCTCAACTCCAACCAACAGAATTTTCCCCTGACTTCCAGTGAATCGGGATTTGCTCAGGCTCTTGCTGCAGCACTGTCAAAAGCAGCCTTGTAAAAGGCAATTTCTCACACAGTGTGGTGGTGCTGGTTTTGGACTGGGGTGGACAAGGTCAGAAATCACACAACATTAGGTGATAGTCCAACAGGTTTATTTGAAAACACAGAGCCTCAGTCCTTCTTCAGGTGAAAGTGACAAAGCTAGTATCAGACACAGAATTTATAAGTAAAAGATCAAAGGGTGACACTACTGATCAGGATGCTGTTAAATCTTTAATCAGTTCGAAGGTTTTAATCCGCAAATTCCTTTGAAGTCGCTGTCCTGAGAGAG